CGTGAAAGGGACACATCGAGTGGCTGCCACCCGCACGACCAACCAGGGCCGGGGACAAACTGCAACCGAAGTACGTGCCCTTAGCGGGAACCGAACCGAACCCGGGTCTCTCCGGACCGCAGGCCGACGCTCTAACCGCTGAGCCAAACTGGCCAGGGCAGAAAATAAAAGTTTAAAAGGGTGAGCAAATGTTGAAACTTTTATTCCCATTAACTTCCTAAGAACCTCTGATTGTTTCACTTATCTGTGTTCTTAACCTACAGAAAAAAATTTAAAGTGATTTATTCTCTTGTCTGAGTTTATTCTTAATCACTTAAAATTTAAAATAATTTAAGATAAACTTTTTCAAAGGCCTGCTCATTCAAACCTTACTTTATCTATCAAGCACTATCTAAATGTTTCTTTACTTCTCAGAATACCCTCAATTCTAACATTTCTAACCAGTTAATTTTCTGAAACATATTTTTCCCCTTAACTTCAAAAGCTTTCTATCTGTGAGAAGTTCTGTGAAGAGTTAGCTCTCTAGGCTTATTCTGTTTAATTAAAGTTATAATTCAAATGTATACACCCTTTGACCTAGCCATTTTACTTCTAAGAATCTAACCAATATTTATGTTCACATAGGAAGCAAGATATATGTAAAAGGGCATTCACTGCAATACTCTTTATAAGAGCAAAGAACGAGACAGTCTCAGATATCTAACAATAGGGTACTGATTAAACAAATTATGATATATTCCTCAGTGGATTTTTATGTATCCACATAGAAACATTTTCTAGAGTAAGATGACAAATTCATGTTTCAAAACAGCAGGTGTATATAAACATATCTGTGGGGAAAACAATAAAAGGCTATTAAAGGAATATATACATTATAAATGTTTTTATATGTTTGCATATACCCAGAAATTTCTAAAAGGAAACATCAAGAACTGTTTAATAATCATTATCTTTGAGAACTGAGACTGGATGTAAGGTACAGAGAAACTTATTTTTCATTTTTTCTGTTCCATATTATTAAATTCATTTTGCCATAGCCACATATTATTTTTCATAATTTAATTAATAATAAGCTGAAGCAAAAAGGAAGCATCCTGCTCAGTGTCATTTAATCTGTTTGAGTAGCTAAAACACATGGATTGTTACCCTTTAACGAATTCACAATAAATTTCAACTATTTGATAGAATATACAATTTCAATTGACAGTTACTCAGCTTCTAGCAAAAGCCTATTTGAAAAAATTGGTATTTGAGAAAATTCTATGGAGTCAGACTAATTTTCATTCCTCTGTGGAGTTTTAACCTCTGTCTTAATAAGAAGAAAAGTATAAACCTACAACGACATTAGACTTCTCAGAAATGTCTTGATTCAATTGCATTTTTACATTATGTTGTCAGTTTTTATAAAGAGGAAGTCACATTAAGAGTGTTTTTGCATTTTCTATAACATCAATGCTTGAAGATGTTTATCATTATGTATTAGGTTGAACCAAATTATCAGTATTCAACTGTTTCTGACTTTTAAAAGAGAAATTTCATATGGTTCACCTAACAGTTCAATATTTTTTAATAATGAACTATCAAATTTAGTCATGTTATAACTTAGCAGCAGGAAAAATTTTGTTTCATCTGTCAAAGTAACGTGCTTTCCCAACTCAAAAAGATAAAAATGACACTGAGCAGGATGCTTCCTTTTGGCTTCAGCTGCCAGGAAGCTTAGTGCTGCATACAGCATTCAACTGTTATAATTTTCTTAGCCTAGGTTTCATTATAATTATCTGTATGATTCCTCTTGTTAGACCTTTTCTACTTGTATTGATCTAAATGTATATGTTTTTCTGAAAGTATTATAACAATCTGTATATACATAACTGGTTTCCTAGAGTACAGTGTTGAGAAAGATTTTTCCTGAACTTGGCAGGGAAAATCACCAAGTTCAACTGGTGCTATTCCATATATATACTGGAAGAGAAAAGGCAGCAATTCCACATATTTGCAGCCCTATCTCATGTGCTTAAGTACTCAAGGTCAGCAATGATGAGGCATTTAGGAATAAATTATGAGCCCTGGCCAGTGTGGCTTGGTTACAGCATGGACCCATGCACCAAGGGGTCTTGAATTTGATTCCCAGTCAGGGCATATACCCAGGTTGTGGATTCGATCCCTGGTCAGGGGCACGTCTGGGAGGCAATTGATCAATATTTCTCACATGGATGGTTTTTTCTCTCTCCCCCTCTCTGGTCCCCCTACCTCTCTCTAAGAAAAAAAGAAGAAGGAAAAAAAGAATAAATTAACAAAAGCCAATCTATAATAGGGAGATCTGAACTGAATTTAGAGAAGAGAGGGCATTAATTGACAGAAAGGGTAAAGGTATTCCTGCCAGAACCAATAAAATATGAAATAGCCTTGACCGGTGTTGTGCAGTGGTTAGAGCGTTGGCCCACATACTGAAGGGTCGCAGGTTCAATCCTCAGCCCCAGTGATCAAAGCAACAAATTGACATGTCTCTCTTACATCGAAGTTTCTCTCTCTCTCCCTCCCCTCTGCCTTCCACTCTCTCTAAAAATGAATAGAAAAAATATCCGCAGATGAGGATTAACAACAACAAAAAATATATGAAATAGACAATGACATACAAAGGACAAACTTCACATACAGATAGGTATGTTTATACATATATATGAATATTAGAATATAGATTACTTGGTTTAAGGATAGAATCTATAAGTAAAATAAATGAGAAATCAAGCCAGAGAGGAATGAATCATTGTAGTTTTTGAACAGGAGGGAAGTGATATGAAGAAAATGGTATATAAATTTTGAAAATCAAATTAATTTCTTTTTAAAACTAAAAGGGGCCTCAAAATGAGCATGTCACCACTATTATAAAATCATTGATTCAGGCAAGATGCTAATAACACTGGGTGAAAGGCTGATGGAAAAGGATATTCAGTCTCAAAATTACACTAATTATTTTTTTTTTAAAAAGATTCTTTACATGACCTTATAATAAAATCTAACCTTACCATCAAACTTAAAATCACCAATTAGGTACTAAACTGTTATTATGTGCCTCCTAAAAGAATGCAATGAGAACACATCATCTATAAAATATTTGTGTCAAAAGTCTTTAAACTAAATCTGATCATAAGGAGACAATCACAAATATATAATTGAGGGACATTCTTCAAAGTCACTAGCCACAATACTTACTTTAATACCATAAAAGACAAAAGAAAAGCAAGGAAACTTTGTTCTAGGTTAAAGAAGACTAAGGAGACATGACGACCAAATGTAACAAATGATTCTCTGACGGTGAAAAAAAAATAGTTTTAAAGAACATTACTGAACAACTGAGAAATCTGAAAATGGACTACATAATAAAAAACAGTATTATAAGAATGTAAAGTTTCCCAAGTATGATAACGGTACTGTGAGTACATAACATTATGCCCTTTCCTTGAAAATGCTTGTGTAAGTATCAGAAATCTGGTAACTCTCAAGTTACAAAGCAAACATTTTAAAAAATAGGAAAACTGTGTGTGTTTGTGTGTGTGTGCACGTGTACATACATATATGCAGGGGTGGGGAATGTGGCATAAATTAACAACAGGTAAAATCTAGGTGACAGATACACAAACATTTGTATTTTATTCTTATAATTTTTCTGGTCTTAAAAAAAGAAGAGCTTTTACATAATTTGGGTCAAATTCCAGTTTCCAGATAAGATAACTGAAGGCAAAAGAAATTTTATTTTGACACGTTCATTCAGCTAGGTTGTAGCAAGTGCATACCTAAAGCTCCTGTGGTTTTACCTGCTGATCCATGGTTCTTTCAACTATCTCATAGTCTCAAGACTAATCACACAGGATAAGTCAAAACAGAAATTACTATTAGATGTAGGGAAGTGATTAATTACTAAGCAAATGTTCCAAACCATCTCAGCAATAATAAGAGGGTGGCTCAGGGTCAATTGCAGATATTAATAGAAAAGGCCAAATAAAGAAGTATCATAATAATCACACTTAGTGATATAGTAGAAGGAGAGAAAAAATAATTTTATAATGCATTAACTGAAAAGATGGGAAAATAAGAGAACTAGTGGTAATAAAAATAATTAAAATAAGATGGCCATCAGGAAGCATACGGAACTGAGACATATAAATTTTAATTGTAATATACCAAAATATAAGCTAGAAGTATTCTAGCATATAAACTTCAGGACAGTAGGACTTCCTGTCCTTTTTGTCCACTGATTAACCCTCAAGTAATCTGAACAATGACAGGAAAATAAACATTTTTTGAACTTTATGAAGCATTCAGGTATAGATAGACAGGAAATAGAAATATAAAGCATAAGGGAAAGTATCGAGAACTATTTACTTTGTGGTCTTTACGGAAGTGGACATATTTAAAGACTCCATCTTCTTTCTGCCTGAGCTTTTGAGTATAAGCTCAAATAACAAAGTTGTCTTTTTTCTATTCCATCGTTCTGTTTATGTGTGTCTTCACAGGAATCTCCAATGAAAGGATGGGTGGCTATAGTCATATATCCTCTAGTACCATCAAAACACCATGATTACTAGTAACAGATGTTATTAGCTAAAGAGGGGAATTCAGGTGTGGTTCCTAAACCAGCATCATCCACACTGACTAGGAGCTTGTCAGAAATGTAAATCCTTAGGTTCCACCCTAGACCCACAGAATCAGAAACCGCAAGGATGGCCCAGTTATCGGTGTTTTACGTCTTCCAGGTTATTCTAATGCACAGTAAAGAACTAAGGACAAAATAAAGGTACTAAACTCTTATTTGACAAAATATCTACCTCAGAATCGAAGTCATTCTTCTTGAGATGCAGCTAAATATTTAATGTCCATTAAATAAAAATGTATTTGTAATATAATCTAGTTTAACATATTACATAGTCATAATTCACCAGGTAGTGATCATATAACAAAACCAGTAAAAATGTAAAAATTTTAAAAAGGCTTCTACTTACTTTAATGTCTCAGCAAGGAAGAAACTCTGCTGCACATCATCGTGTGCAGGAGTGGAGGAATAAACATCCTTCACCCCAGAAAATCCACCACTGACTCGGCAGTGCTTCTCAATAGCCTGCGAAAGACATGAGACAAAAGAATAAATTCCACAAATTTCCAATTTTGAAGGTCAAGTTAAGGGACCCCAGCAAAAAGTTCACAGAGCTCTATAAAAGAATATGACAGTAATCCCCATCAAAATACCAATGACATATTTCACAGACTAGAACAAATACTTCAAAAGTTCATATGGAACAAAAAAAGACCCCGAATAGCCACAGCAATCTTGAAAAAGAAGGACAAAGTAGGTGGGATCACAATACCGGATTATCAGGTTATACTACAAGGCGACTGTAATCAAAACGGCCTGGTTCTGGCACAAGAACAGGCAATATAGACCAGTGGAACAGAATAGAGAACCCAGAAATGGACCCAAGACACTATGCTCAATTAATATTTGACAAAGGACCAAGAGCATACAATAGAGTAAAGACAGCCTCTTTAATAAATGGTGTTGGGAAAATTGGACAGCTACATGCAAAAAAAATGAAACTAGACCATCAACTTACACCATACAGAAAAATAAACTCAAAATGAATAAAAGACTTATATGTGACTCATGAATCCATAAAAATTCTAGAAGAAACTGTAGGCAACAAAATTTCAGACATCATACACAGCAGAATTATCACTGATACATCACCTAAGGCAAGAGAAACAAAGGAAAAAATGAACACATGGGACTACATCAAATGCAAAAGCTTCTGCACAGCAAAAGAAACAACCATCAAAATGGAAAGGCAACCCAGTGCATGGGAGAGCATCATTGCCAATGATACATCAGATAAGGAGTTAATTTCCAATATATATAGAGTGTTTACACAACTCAACAAAAGGAAAACAAAGAACCCAATTAAAAAATGGGCAGAGGAGCTGAATAGACACCTCTCCAAACAGGACATGCAAATGGCCAAGAGACATATGAAGAAATGCTCAATATCACTAACCATCAGAGAGATGCAAATTAAAACAACCATGAGGTATCACCTTACACCTATCAGAATGACTACCATCAACAAATCATCAAACAACAAGTGTTGGCGAGGGTGTGGAGAAAAGGGGACTCTAGTACACTGCTGGTGGGAAGGCAGACTGGTGCAGCCACTATGGAAAACACTATGGTGTTACCTCAAAAAATTAAAAACTGAACTGCCATTTGACCCAGTGATCCCACTTCTAGGAATATACCCTAAGAAGCCTGAAACACCAATCAGAAAGAATATATGTACCCCCATGTTCGTAGGAGCACTGTTTATAATAGCTAAGATCTGGAAACAGCCCAAATGTCCATCAGTATACGAATGAATAAAGAGTAGTGGTACATATACACAATGGAGTACTATGCCGCTGTAAGAAAGAAAGATCTCTTATCCTTTGAGACGACATGGAGGGACCTGGAAAGTGTTATCCTAAGTGAAACAAGCCAAGCAGAAAAAGACAAATACCACATGATCTCACTTATTTGTGGAATATAATGAACATAACAGTCTGAGGAATAGGGTAGACCCAGAAACATGGAAGTGGGGTACAGACTGACAACCCTCAGAAGATGGGGTGGTGGGGGGAGGGAAGAGATAAACCACAGAACTTACATACATATACACATAACCAATGGACATGGACAAAAAGCCGGGGACGGGGGGGGAGGGGGAGGAGGGTGTCAATGGGGTAAAAATGGAGAAACATCTGTAACAAAAATAAAATTAAAAAAAAAAAAAAAAGAATATGACAGTTTAAGAATAAAATTTATTATCAGATGAAAGTATTTCCTTCTGGAAAAACTGACTGAGGTAGCCTGTTTCCAGTGGAATTTCTTCCTCTTCAACTCTTTCATCTTTTTAAGACATCTTTTATATTCCTAACTTAGGAGTCTAATTTAGGTTATTTACACTGGATTCGAGATATGATACAATAAAGTCTCATTAATTCTGACAAATTAAGAGGGAGGTCAATTTGAATTTAAAAATTTAAATGCAATTTTATCACTTCCAAGGATAAACAATAATCCAAACATGCTTTAAAAAAAAGCATCAGCAGTACTCCGGAGCTCTGCATAGTAATAGCAATGAGATAATGTTTACTGCAAACATACTATATGACAGAGATTATATTATAATTGTATGAGTTAGTTGTTACAGGTGGTACCAACTTGCAGGAAGCGCCCATACACACACACCTACTACAATAAGAACTATGATAGTAAAAGCTAACAATTATGAAGTACTGACTGTGCTGAAGGCTCTTAAAAGAGCTTTACATGAATTAACATTCAAATTTCCAACAATCCTCTGAGGTTGTCTTAGCTTTACTTTTCAAATGGGAAAACTGAGGCAGAGTAATTTGCTCCACATTATTATAAACTACCAAGTGGAGGCAAAAATTCTTAATTTATATCTCTTTTTGAACCTTTGAACATATCTAAATAAAATATACGAAATCAAATGGAATGTATTCAAAACCCTGTTTTTAATTCAAAACAACCAAATATCCTGCTTATGCAGGTATATTATACTCCAGAATTAAGCCATTCATGAAAAGCTGAAAGCACACGTGGACTTCTTTCTCTACCTGACCCTGTGATACTGTGGAATGAAGGTATGGTCACTGCTCCTACTCTTGCTACTTTTCTTACTCTCTGGTCTTCCTCCTTTCTAATGAAAAGAAAACTGACACTGAAAGTGTTTTCTTCATCAAACTATTCTTTCTTATATAGTTTCATTTTGATTATAGATGAGTTTTCAAGTCTTCTTACCAAAAGGTTTAATATTTTTCTATATCTAAATATTTTAAATACAAGAGTTTTTAAACAGTGTTTTGTCCAATGATCATGTGCCCCCTTCTGTCCCCACAAGAACTATCAGAGCAGCTGAAGAATACTGAGAAAGTAGTGGGCAGGCATGACTAATCTTTAAGCCACTTAGAGTCATTTCCTGAAGGCAAACTTGGATATATGACATACTTAAGTGTCATGGAACAGCTAAAGCTACATAAGACCTGAGATTCCCCCTATTTTGTCTCAGCCCATCTTCCTTTCACTTTCTTCACACCCATCAGAGGAGGCCAGTGGTGGGCAAGCAAGCAAATTCTATTCAAGATATGAATCCTCCTCTTTTGTCTCATCCCCCTTTCTCATCATGCACATTTTTGAAACTTGAATTTAAAGCATAACTATTTCAGTCTTGTTCTTTATACTTTGTGTGTGTCCATATGGGCTATTAGAAGCAAAATTCTAATTCCTGTTAATTCGAATTTACACAGATATGGGTTAAAGTTTGAGTTTATCAAACCTCTTTTTAATCAATAAGAATAGGGCCATACATTAAGAAGGTGTGCAGGAAAAAAGGCCCTTAGGAACAGGACAAATGATCCTAGTGTTTCTCAGTGACAGCATGTTTCTGCCACCATCCCTCACCCCCAACTCAGATTTTTCTCCCTTATTCATAAAAATAAGAATCATTAAATATTAGGGGACATTCAAGTCAGATTCATTGCAGGATTACTTTAGCTATCTATTGTCCCATGGAAATAGTTTGATTTGCATAAGCTTTAGTAAGCCATTGCTACCAACAGAAGTGCGTGTTTCTGAGCTACTGTGGCAACAGTCTGACTATCTTCTCAAATGCTGCACTAGCAGCTACATTCCCAATTCTGGACCCAGGTGAAAAGCAGCATCAACAAATGCTGCCTCTGCTCCTGTTCTGTGTAACCACCTTTCATTACTATTTTCTTATTGTTAAATTTCTTAAGGACTATCCAGGTCTGAATGACAAATGACATGTGTGTGTCCTCATCTTAGGTTAAGTCTTTCTCACATTATTCCCAGATTACTGCAGTGGTCTCCAAAACCCACCAATTTGCAGATTACAATCAGATCCTCTTAATTTGTTACTTCCTACTAAAAAGCCTTCAGTAGTTCCTCCACCTTTGAAAAATCTTTGGTAGTCCTATCATGGATTCTATTTTTTTTTAATCCCCACCCAAGGATATTTTTTTCCATTTATATTCAGATAGAATGGGGAGGGGGGAGAGACGAAGGAAGGAAGGGAGCAGGGAGAGAAAGAGAGAGAGAAACATTGATGTGAGAGAGACACATTGACTGGTTGCCTTCCACACATCCACGAGAAGGGCCGGGGACCAAATTACAACTGAGGTATGTGTCCTTGACCGGAATCGAACAAGCAACTCTTTGGTCCGTGGGCCCATGCTCTAACGGCTGAGCCAAACTGGCCAGGGCCTTTAATGGATTCTTAAAGTTAGAGAGCCTTGGTGTGTAGGAGATGGTTAAGAAAAAGAGATATGATGGGCTTTTCAGAGAGGCAAAGGACTTTCTATCCTCATATGAGAAACACCTATGTAGTAACTGAGAGAAGTGTGTGTTTGTGTGTGTGTATGTGGGTGCATGTATGCTATTCCTGAATCACTAAGTCAAGTATACATCCCTTGATCTGACACGTAAGGCCATCTATACAATGGCTTCAAATCTCTCTCTCTCTGGTTGCCACTGTGAAACCTGCTTTTTACATAAATTGGTCTATGTTCTGCACTAGAGTGTATCTTACACCTTATTGTCTGAGCAATTTACTGACATTACTATCTCACCTAGAATTCCCTCATTCTATCTACACTATAGGCTTAAGTTAAACAGTTTAAATATGAATATTCATCCTAGATAGTACTATATATTATAATTAGTAAAACACTCTCTCACTCCCAGGAATAAACTATACTTTCACAAAAAGACTAATGATTTTCTTTCTCCCCAGGTACTGAGAGCCATTAGGTTCTCTCAAAAACAAGTATTGTAAGAGTAAATCACTTGCTTTTTTTAAACTTACTAACCATTAAAAGTTCCTCATTCCAAATAAATGTCTTTGTCCATCAACCTAAAAAAATTTTAACAGTTCACTGATCCTTCTTATAGTGATCCACTAAGGGATTACTTGGAACACAAACTGAAATGAACAGGGAGTAATCTACCCAGGCTGTGAATCTAGGCAGTTTTACCATGTTTTCTTTCTTTTTGGAGTTTAAGCATTAATAGGAAAGTATAGACATTTTGCAATCATAATGAAAAATTGCCTTTTAAAAGACTCTTTATAGTTATTCAATAAGAATAATGAGTGAATATTAGAAAAAGCCTTCTAATGGAGAACTAAACTGGGTTCTAAGGTTTACTTCTGCTGCGTAAGAAACTTAAGTTGACTAATAGAGGTTTCCATCAGATAAATGGAAATAGTCCTACAGTTACTGAACATGAGGTAACATGGAGGATGATACAGGACACTAGAGAAGGACTTGTTGTAACACTCTTGCACATGAAATAAAAAATTGGTTTATTTACCAGAGCTGCTTCCCAGCCCCACTGCCTATATCTTGGATCGTGAGTGAATCGCCATAAGTACCAATAGGTTTCGATGACTTCTGGACGGAGGATGTAATACTTTTCAGCCTGCCGGACTGCCACAGCCTCTACTGCACCATCAAACTTGAAGGATTCAGGACCTAGCTTTAATGCTGTAACATGACAAAATAAATAAATGAGTACAATAAACCATTTGTGTTTGTATGCCAGAGCTTTTTTCTTCCCTGAAGGAATGGGGGATGAAATTAAGTTATTTTTGTTGTTTATTTTTACTGTTGCTGTTTTGCAAAATCAGTGACTTTAAAAATTCACATTTGGCTTTCTTATAAACACTTATAAATATTCCTATTATTCTGACATGAAATCTCTCTCATAAATAATGTACATCAATATACTGTTAAATCTAACTATATCGACAAGAGTCCTTTGGAAACAAATGCAAAGTAGACAAGAAGTACATTACATATTCTTTTTTTGTCAAAAATAAAATGAGACAGATAAATGCACTGTACAGAATTATATTTTTTAAAGTCAGGACAATTTTAAAGTCCTCTGAATATAACACACACGTAAGAAAACATTTTAGAGCTCAGTTCTCTTTCTTCAGTGACATTTTAAAGCTCAGAGCTCAGAACTTGAATTCGATTTTGAAGTAGAGTATATAACTTTTTAAAGCATATAAAAATAATATCTTTTAAAGCTTAAATCAGTTTTAGAAATAAACTCTTCTCCTATAGCCTCAAAACACACAGCAGAGATTCAAATTGCCAATCATCAAGAATTTCACCAGCAATTTTCCCATTTACTCCTAAAGTTAGAAGTAACCAACAAATTTACAATATTTTATAAGAAAACTTCTATCCAGTTTGAATAAAACATGGCCAATACACATATATTTCAACATTATATACTGTTCCTTGAACAATATGATTTCCATTTGGGCTGGAATATAGCACTACTTGAACAGCTTTTTAAGAACTTCTTTCTAGCCCTGGCCAGTGTGGCTCAGCGGTTAGAGCGTCGGCCTGCGGTCGGGAGAGACCCGGGTTCGGTTCCCGCTAAAGGCACGTACTTTGGTTGCAGTTTGTCCCCGGCCCTGGTTGGTCGTGCAGGTGGCAGCCACTCGATGTGTCCCTTCACATCGATGTTTCTCACTCTCTCTCCCTTCCTCTCTCTCCCTCCCATTCTATCTGTACAAAAAAAAAAAAATGGAAAAATATCCTCGGGTGAGGATAAAAAAAAAAAAAGAACTTCTTTCTAATCACACCCAGCTCCCTAAACCTGGGCAATACCAAGTCATCTTTCCTTGGGATGTTGAAGTTGCACACAATTACCACTGTCAGCGGTCATCTTTCTTTCTTTTTACTAGGCTGTACTGGTGGCAAATAGTTGCTAGGTTTCTCACCTCTTTCATAACAACGTTGCACATTTTTATATTTTCTTAGAAAAGGTAGCACAAGAACTATAATGCTGGTGGACCATAAACAAGAGCATGGCATAGTTGTTGGCATGACATGTGTTGCTGTTGCTGTGGCCAAATATCAGCAGTATAAGTGTGACACCGTAAGCTCCAAATAATCACAATTCAAAGGAGGTGAAAATAAAGCCTTTCTCACCATTCCCCATCCCCAGGAAAAAAATACAAAACAAAAAAACACTGTGGTGATAGTGGATAGTTCTATTAAAAGCAAAACATGTGATTCAGAAGAGTTAATAACCACAGTTTGTCTACTAAGTCTGGAAGAGCTAAAGCAGAACTCAAGCAGGGGCTTTTAACCTGAAGGTCACAAACTCTATGGTAGGTTTTGGAAGAGGGAGACAGATTTGTGTCCAAGAAGCCTCTGAAGTTGTATGCAAAACTTTATATGTGCACAAAAAGCAGCTCCTCAACAGGATTTGAAGTTAGGAATAACCAACAAATTATCAATATTTTGTAAGAAAACTTGTATCCAGCGATTGAAAGATCTGGCATACAACCAACTATTATTTGGCATTTAATAAATGCTTTTGAAATGATGATAAAAATCAAACATCATAAGCCCTGATATGATGGTAATCCAATTAAACTTGAGGTGAGTTATTTTGTCTGAATTTCTTAGGTTTTTCCTTTCTCAAAGACTATGAGTGCTAAGAAATGATCAAATGTTTTCAAATGTTAATCTTAAAGTTAACTTTAAATTAACTTCTATAATTATAATGATAATATTGTCTGAACTAAGGTAGAAATTGCTGCATGGAATATTTTAAACTTCTCACTAAAAATTGTATTTCTTTTCTTAATCCTCACCTGAGGATATACTGATTTTCAGATAGAGTGAGTGGGAAGGAGAAAGAGAGAGAAACATCGATGTGAGAGAGATACATCGACTGGTTGTCTTCCACACCAACCTGACCAGGGCCGGGGATTGAACTGCAACGGAGGCATGTGCCCTTGACCAGAATTAAACGTGCGACTCTTTGGTCCACAGGGTGATGCTCTAACCGCTGAACCAAACTGGCCAGGGCTAAAAACTGTATTTCATTTACTGGTCATTCAGAATTTCACACATAAAACATACCAGGAAGATAACATATTTGTCCTGTGAGTGAAAGTGTATAAGCTATCACATCCATTATTTGACCAAACCACTGGTTTCATTTTTTTGAAGGCACTATTTCATAGGTGCTGTTTTATTTAAGAAATGTTGTAAACAATAATTTAATTTACTTTCTATTTCCTATCTTAAACTTCTCATTTACATTTGATATTTCATTTCTAAAAGGAAAATAACTAATCCAACAATTAAAAATTAAGTCAAAACCATAAACAGTTTATTTAGTGCCTGGATAAGAATGCCAGAGGATGCAAAAATCGTATCATGTAGGTAAAGTAAAGAGACATGCACAGATAAAAAAAAATTCTTTAGTAAAATATCAAATGTGATAAAGGTCAGTAGTAAGACAATAAAAGGTAAGTTTAAAGAAGGCAAGGATTAGTTTGTAAAATCATGGGGAAATGCAATTCATATGAGTACTCCAAGATAGGTAGGACCTGTACAAATGGAAAAATAAGCATGCTCAAGTCAACAAAAGATAAAAGCAAAGGAATATTCTGGGACAGGCAATTTGACTATAGTTTGAAAGGGCTAATAATACAAGAAGAATTTTAAGCTAGTTTCCTGTGTCCTCTCCTCTAAGGAAAAAATAGTGGAAACTATTAAAATACATCCAGGCCCTGGCCAGTTTGGCTCAGCGGTTAGAGCGTCGGCCTGCAGTCTGGAGAGACCCGGGTTCGGTTCCCGCTAAGGGCACGTACTTCGGTTGCAGTTTGTCCCCGGCCCTGGTTGGTCGTGCGGGTGGCAGCCACTCGATGTGTCCCTTCACGTCGATGTTTCTGTCTGTCTCTCCCTTCCTCTCCCTCCCTCCCACTCTATCTGTACAAAAAATGGAAAAATATCCTCGGGTGAGGATTAAAAAAAAAAAAAAAAAAATACATTCAGTATTCCATGTTCAATGGATCTTTTGTCCACTGGATATGTTATATGCACCTAAACAGATTACATTCTCCCACGCCCAAATGTGATAGCACATGGTCTAGGGAAGGTTTTACCTCATTTCAACATGACATAAATTAAATTTTATTCACTATTTATAGTGATATAAAATTTATATCACTAGTTTAATGATGCTTGGAACATTTTTTTAAATCTAAAAACTCGGAAAAAGAAAGTACTATATTTTGGAAGTCTTGGCACCAGTTCCGCATTATAGCTCAGAATAAACTAAAACACGTACCAATCTAGCTTCCCATGAAACTACAATGGTTTGAAATTATCAGTAAGCTACTGCTCAGTTTCATGAACAGATTCAGCAACATTTCCTACAAATCCAGGAGGTCATGCTCATCAATAAGGTGAAATATATAAAGAATTTTGAATTAATGTTAACTCTAATTCCAACAACAAATAAAAGTGAAATTCCAAGGCAATAATTGTCATATGAATCTAGCTAGAATAATTGCTAAGAAGTGGATGGATATTTTTAAACAGAGTGGCTAAAAAATTATAGCATAGCTATAAGAAAACACAGCAGAAGATATAATGACCTGGTAGAAAATGAGCAAAACTAGGACTGTACTTTTTAATTAAAGCATCTAAGTTGAGATTAAAGGTAAGTAAAAAGCAGTGTAAGACTTGAAAATATATGACACAAATCAAACAGTAATCTTTTGTAGGACACCATGGCAAAGAGGATCATAGGTTCACTGACTTGCAATGTGAGGATGACAATCTGAACAAGTACGACAGCACCATAAACTGCATCTTTAAAAAATTTCATTGATATTCACAATAACATTATAAAGAAGACAGAGTAGATACTATTATCCCAATTTTTGCAGCTGGAGCAACTGATGCTTAAGAAGGTCAAGTGATTTACCTAAGGCTAACAGATAATAAACAGAACAAGTGAATTTAAATCCTAGTTCATATGTTCTTTCCATAATCACAGTGTTTCATATCAACATCAGCAATGTCATTATGAAATGTGAAAATCAGAAATACAATATAGAGAATACATTTATAACTCCGGTATTCTATGAACTTCTCAAAGGCAGGAAATACATCTTGTTCATACTTTAACCTATAAGCATCCAGCATAATGCTTGGCATATAATAGGTGCTCCATGTTTAATGGAGTAAATGATTAATTATAATAACTATGGCATTTCGTATTTTTAATATGTGTGCTGTATTATGAAATCTTACTATTTTACGTCTATTAATTGATTTGTGGTCAAAATCTGCATAACAACAAGCCTTATTATGGGTCCTAACACAAACACTTAATCTCCATTCTGGTCCTCAATGTCTTACTAACCTGAGCTCTATTTTAAATATATTTGATACTCTATTATATCATCAACATGATAATATAATTTAGCTTCTATTTGCATCTCGGATCATTGATTTTACATGTATTGTATACCAACACTTAAACTACCCTAAAATAAGGTCTGCTCAATGTTCTTTTAAAAAATATATATTTTTATTGATTTTAGAGAAAGAAGAAGGGAGAGGGAGAAAAAAAGAAACATTGATTGGTAACCTGCTACATAAACCCAACTGGGGATTGAACTCATAAGCTGGGTATGTGCTCTGACTGGGAATCAAACTCGAAACTTTCAGTGCATGGGAAGAAGCTCAACCAACTGAGCCACACTGGCCTGGGCTTAATAACCTTTTCACTTAGTTATATTTTGTTAAGAAATGTAATCCTTGATTTAGTTACTGAGGAAATAGAAGAGTCAAATTCACCATAAATTAAATTCCTTACTATATAAGAATATCTTGACAGATTTTGAACCAAAATTTTTTTTTAGTATTAAATATTTTTATTTTTAAAAATTTATTTTATTTTATTTTATTTTTTGTTAGATGTTTCTTCTTTTCCCCCCACTGATTCCCTTCTCCTCCTGCCTCCCCACCCTCTCCCCAGCTTTGATGTTCATGTCCATTGTTCATGCATACATGCATATAAGTTCTGTGGTTTATCTCTCTCCCCCACCCCCTCTTCTGGGGATAGTCAGTCTGTACCCCACTTCCACGTCTCTGGGACTACCCCATTCCTCAGACTGTTATGTTCATTATATTCCACAAATAAGTGAGATTATATGATACTTGTCTTTCTTGTTTGGCTTGTTTCGCTTAGGATGACACTTCCCAGGTCCCTCCATGTCGTCTCAAAGGATAAGAGAACTTTCTTTCTTACAGCGGCATAGTACTCCATTGTGTATATGTACCTCAGCGTTTTTATCCATTCGTCTACTGATGGACATTTGGGCTGTTTCCAGATCTTAGCTATTGTAAATAGTGCTGTTACGAACATGGGGGTACATATATTCTTTCTGATTGGTGTTTCAGGCTTCTTAGGGTATATTCCCAGAAGTGGGATTACTGGGTCAAATGGTAGTTCAATTTTCAATTTTTTGAGGTAACACATTGTTTTCCATAGTGGCTGTACCAGTCTGCATTCCCACCAGCAGTGTAGTAGAGTCCCCTTTTCTCCACACCCTCGCCAACACTTGTTGTTTGATGATTTGTTGATGGCGGCCATTCGGACAGGTGTGAGGTGATACCTCATTGTTGTTTTAATTTGCATCTCTCTGATGATTAGTGATGTTGAGCATTTCTACATATGTCTCTTGGCCATTTGTATGTCCTGTTTGGAGAGGTGTCTATTTAGTTCCTCTGCCCATTTTGTAATTGGGTTCTTTGTCTTCCATTTGTTAAGTTGTATGAGCACTCTATATATATTGGAAATTAACCCCTTATCTGATGTATCATTGGCAGTTATGCTCTCCCATACAGTGGGTTGCCTTTCCATTTTCATGATTGTATCTTTTGCTGTGCAGGAGCTTTTGAGTTTGATGTAGTCCCATGTGTTCATTTTCTCCTTTGTGTCTGTTGCCTTAGGTGATGTATCAGTGAAAATTGTGCTGCGTATGATGTCTGAAATTTTGTTGCCTACATTTTCTTCTAGGAATTTTATGGATTCATGAGTCACATTTAAGTCTTTTATCCATTTTGAGTTTATTCTTGTGTATGGTGTAAGTTGATGGTCTAGTTTCATTTTTTGGCATGTAGCTGTCCAATTTTCCCAACACCATTTATTAAAGAGGCTGTCTTGACTCCACTGTATGCTCTTGCAGCCTTTGTCAAATATTAACTGAGCAGCCCTGGCCAGTTTGGCTCAGCGGTTAGAGCGTCGGCCTGCGGTCCTGAGAGACCCGGGTTCGGTTCCTGCTAAGGGCGCGTACCTCGGTTGCAGTTTGTCCCCGGCCCTGGTCGGTTGTGCGGGTGGCAGCCACTCGATGTGTCCCTTTCACATCGATGTTTCTCTCTCTCTCTCTGTTCCTCTCTCTCCCTCCCACTCTACCTGAGCAAAAAATGGAAAAATGTCCTCAGGTGAGGATAAAAAAAAAAAATTAACTGAGCATACTGCCTTGGGTCCATTTCTGGGTTCTGGGTTCTGTTCCACTGGTCTATATGCCTCTTCTTGTGCAGTACCGGGCTGTTTTGATTACAGTGGCTTTGTAGTATAACCTGAAATCTGGTCATGTGATCCCTCCAACTTTGTTCTTCTTTTTCAAGATTGCTGTGGGTATTCGAGGTCTTTTTTGGTTCCATATGAACTTTTGAAGTATTTGTTCTAGTTCTGTGAAGTATGCCGTTGGTATTTTGATGGGGATTGCATTGAATCTATAGATTGCTTTGGGTAGTATGGACATTTTAATGATGTTAATTCTTCCAATCTATGAACAAGGTATGTGCTTCCACTTTTTTATATCTTCCTCTATTTCTTTTATCAATGACCTGTAGTTTTCTGCGAATAGGTCCTTTATTTCTTTGGTTAAGTTTATTCCTAGGTATCTCAATTATCTAGCTGTGATGGTAAATGGGATTGTTTTCTTAGTTTCTTTTTCTGTGAGTTCATCATTGGTGTATAAGAATGACGTCAATTTCTTCATGTTAATTTTGTATCCTGCTACTTTGCCAAATTCATTTATTAAGTCTAGTAAATTTTTGATGGTGTTTTTGGGGTTTTCTACATATAGTATGTCATCTGCAAATAATGACAGTTTCACTTCCTCCTATCCATTTTGGATCCCTTTTATTTTTTCTTCCTGTCTGATTGCTGTGGCTAAGACTTCCAGTACTATGTTAAATAAGAGAGGGAAAAGTGGGCATCCCTGTCTTGTTCCTGTTCTTAAGGGAAGTGCTTTTAGTTTTTGCCCATTGAGTATGATGTTGGCTGTAGGTCTTGAACCAGAATTTTATGCCAGTCATATATGTGTCATGGTACCTGATGAAAAATTAACCTTAAAATGGAAACTTAGTTATTTAATATAAGCAACAATTCAAACTTCTGAAATCACAAATAGAAATCACTGGTTTTTAGTCTTTTAGAAAACTCATCCATTTTTTCATATAGAAACTACATTTTTAAAGCCACAGATAACCCTGAAAGCTGCAGTCCAGTTTTTCTCAACCCTATTTTCAGGCTTTTAAAAAACCTAATTGCCTTCTCTCTATATAAAATTTTAATAATACACACTGTTTACCTATCTATAACTGTATGTATATCGATGCTTTATACATAAAAATATGCATTTTTCACCCCAAAGAACCAATTACTGTCATTACAGTAAATCATTGCATTTTCCAGGTAAGGACACTGAAGCCCAGAAATATTACATATTTGCCTAAAGTGATGCTAGAGGATCTGGTGGGGGAGAGATAAACCACAGAATTTATATGCATGTATGCATGAACAATGGACATGGACAACAAAGCTGGGGACAGGGTGGGGAGGGAGGGGAAGGGCAGAATCAGTGGGGGGAAAAGGAGAAACATTTGTAACAAAAATAAATAAATTTAAAAAATAAATAAATAAAGGCATAAGCAACTCAAAAATTATTGGAGAACTGACTAAGAGAGAACCTACTGGTTACCTAGAATACCAATTATATATTCAATATAACTACTATTATCTTCTTATTTTCACAAGAGGATAGGCAAGGCATGTAACCTAAATTGGTTTATTTTGTGTCCTTTTAAGTAAGTGTTTTCACAGAACCTGAAATGAATGGCTAAATGGATTCTTACTATACTAAAATAAGTAATGTTATCCCATACATCCCCAAATGCCCTACCTCTTATTTTTAAAACTTCAAAACCTTTATTAGAAATAGTAAAAAGAAAGTGATGCAAAAATACATTTCCAGAATTAAAATTCAAGTTCTTAAGAAAATAATTTACTGTATTAGAGTAACTATTTTGAAATAAAAATGTTTATATATTTTCCTTCTAACTCCTGTACATATTTTTAATTTGTAGGTTATTTTGGACTAAGTAATTAGCATTATTAATATTCTTACCAGTTCTGTCATATGACTCATGACATGTACGTGCAATTTCTGCCCCTAGCTCTAAATAATGACCAGCTTTATCCTTGGAACCATCTGCTCCAAGCACAAACATTCCTCCAGCAAAGCAGGCCAAATGCCCCATCTTCTTTTCCAGGTGCCCATTCTTCCATTCTCCAATAAACGTAAGGCCTCCACGGGACTTTTTAATAAGATGTTTTTCTATAGCCTACAAGAAAAGAGTAGATATTCAAAATTTCAGAAACAAAATGTTAGTGTTCAAACTTACTGTATCTCTCTGACCATAAAACCTTGGTAATATGATATCCCACAAAGCAGTAACTTTCCCAAACTGGAAGGCTTAAGTTACAGTAAATTTTGAAGTAATAAGTTGCATTAAATTGAACAAACGTCCCAATCACTACTATAACAAAATAAGGTGGAAGGGGAGAGACTAGCTTCAAGGTTACCTTTCTCTTCTTAAGCAAAATGAAACTCATAATAATCAGTCAAATGACATCATGATGACAAATTAGAACCCAAAGGCTCTGCCTATTTATTTTCTATTTCAGAGAACAAAAACTGAATCAAAAGAATACCTAAGCTAATTAGAAAAATATTATTTTGATAATTAGTTAAATTGGCTTCTCCATTTTTGTTTAACTATACCTCTTCTCAAAGTACTTTAAAAAGGAACCATTAGGTAAGACACTTTGCACGTTATAAAGCTTATGAAACTAGTTGGATGTTCAAACTGAACTCCTTAGTCCCTTACTTCGCCAACTGAAGCATTTGTTTTGTGTGCTGTGCCATGTTTAAGAGAGGCAACGTGCCCTGGCCAGTTTGGCTCAGCGGTTAGAGCATTGGCCCACGGACCAGAGTGTCCTGGGTTCAGTTCCTGCTAACGGCACACACCTCAGTTGCAGTTTGTCCCCGGCCCCAGTTGGGGTCCTGTGGGTGGCAAGCAGATGTGTCTCTCTCTCTCTCTCTCTCTCTCTCTCTCTCTCTCTCTCTCTTCCCCCCTTTCCCTCCTGCTCTATCTGAAGATAAATCTGAAGAAAAAAAAAAAAGTGTCCTCGGGTGAGGATTAAAAAAAAGGAGGCCACATGACAAAGAGTCCATCCTCCTGGAGTGTCAGTTTTAATCAAAAGACATGGGGATGGCAAGGGAAATATTTTATATTAAGCTGGAATATAAAACAGAGTCCCACAATTACATTTAATTGTAAAAGTGAGACTTTTAACAGCTTTGTTACTTTGAACTATATCCTCACACTTCATTGAGTCTAGGTATTCTCTACTTCTAGAGATAGTTTTATGGAAAAATTTAAGAAACTGCATTAAGTCAGTTCTCTTTGGTGGAAATCATTATATGATTAGAGACTATACTTTTCTGACAATAAAAGGGAACTAGAATTAATCGACATTTTTACTGTGGGTTGTTCTCTAACAAGCTCAGTAACTACATCTCTAAATACTGATCAATGACTACAGTCAGAATTGTATATACTTTGTAGTATATACAAAATATATGGCTTTCAAAAAGTGATTAAAATCGTTAAAAGGATATGTTTATAATAGAACAAAAAGCAAATAACTTACTAAGTGGTTCACACACTTATTTATTTCATAGTTTTTGCTTGGAAATATCACATATAAGTGTTTCCAAGAATGAAACTTGTTCCAATTTTAAACTGTTACAACATTGTGGTATGAGGTTATATAAATGTAGTGCAGAAGTCAAGAGCATAGGCTCTGGAGCCAGATTGTTTAATCCAGGCTCCATCACTTACTAGCTATGCAACCTTCATAAAGTTATTTAAACTCTCAATGCCTTAGGCTCCTCATGTGTAAAGTGTTAGTAAAGATTAAATTTTTTCACATAAGTAAAAGGGGTTAGAACAGTGCCTGGCACAGGGAAAGTACTATATACATGTTTTGTCCTTATCATTTAGCCACAAGCTGTCATTATACAGGTCCAATGGGTAATTTGAAAGAAGAAAAGTTAACAAAAATGCATGTAAAGTCAGATTTCCCAGTCTCTGTAGACAATAACTAAAAAATTAAAATAAATTTTCATACATAAATGTTACACTAAATTCTTTAAATTTCTTTAAAATGCCACAATAAAAACTTAATGAGATTTTTATATTAAAATACTAATACATTCTACAATGAATGCATATAATAAAATGCATTTAAGATGTTTCCTATCACTATCAAATATACTATATATTTGATTTGTTAAATAGGTAAGTGCTGTGACCATAATTACCTCAATAGCATCATCATACATTTTTCTTGCCTCATGGTCTGTTTTATCTGACATCAACCATGCTTTCAGTAAGTATTCATAAAAACTGTCTCCCAGCCCACCAACTGATGTATGATCTGTAACAAAAGAGAAAAGGAGAAGGATGGAGGTGGAGAAAAGAGAAGATAGAAGACAATTAAATAATGTTTTTCAATTATAATGACTATTTAAAAATTATGTTGATAGCTCTATTTCCAACATACTTCAAAATGAGTCCAGTAAGAGCATACCATAATCACTTTCCTCTACATAGGTAGTCTTGGATTGAGATCCTTGTTTTTCTTGACTTTGATTACTTCATGCCACTCCCTTCTGGCCTGTAGTGTTTCTGTTGAGAAGTCAGCTGAGAGCCTTAGGGGGTTTCCTTTGTAGCTAACCTGTTGCTTATCTCTTGCTGCCTTTAGGATTCTCTCTGTCTTTAATTTTGGGCATTTTAATTACTATGTGTCTTGGTGTGGGCTTGTCTGGGTTCTTTTTACTTGGGGCTCTCTGTGCTTCTTGAACTTGAATGCCTTCTTCCTTCCCCAATACTGTAAGTTCCCTAAACTTATAGTGTTAAAGGCAGTAATTTGTAGTATATTCTAGGGCATGCCATTCTCAGATCTATTCACCCACTCCCAGCCACAATGTGCTCTACAAGTTTGTTGAAATATCTTGTCCCTTGTGATCTCCCACTTGGCTCCAAATCTCTACTATTATGGGTTTATTCCTTTACTATTTAAGGGTTTACTCATTTCTGTATTTTTATTTCACTGCAGTCTCAAGAATGATAGTTGGCCACAGTGGTAAAGTTACAGTTCAAGCTTCTACCATGAAGCACAAGTCCTAATAAACCTTTCTTGTGTTGACTTCTTTCTGGATATTTTTCCATTGATTTTCAGATAGAGTAGAAGGGAGGGAAGGAGGAAGAGCAAGCGAGAGAGAGAAACATCTACGTGAGAGAGACACACTGATTGACTTCTTCCTGCACAACCCTGACTGGGGCCAGTGATCAAACCTGCAAACCAGGTAGATGTCCTTGACCAGAAATCAAACCCATGACCCTTAGGTCCGCAGGCCAATGCTCTAACCTCTGAGCCAAACCAGCCAAGGCTCAAGATCATCTTTAAACTTCATGCAAAATCCCATCCCATCCCTGAAACACATACCAAAAATAAAGGATCCAATAATTATTTAAAAGGCATAGTCACACTTAATAAAAATTATAGTAGGCAAGAAATACAAAGAAACTTATAGTGTTAAAAGCAGAAGTTTCTACTTCTTGAAAGTGAGATAAATAAAAACACCTAGAAATTTACTTTTTCCACAATATGAGGGTTCAAAGCCCTTACTTATGGTGGGGACTCTGGGTAGGAAATTAATTTCCTAGACTACCAGGGAAAAGCAGAAATAGCTGCACAATTCAGACTGGGATATATTGCACCACATTTGGGAACGAGATGTGTAATATTCTCAGGAGAACTGACTTTCCAGTATACAAAAGACCAAGTTCTGAACTGATGAGCCAGTGAAAGTAGCAACAAAACTTCCAGGAATGGAGCAACACGTGAGGAGAGTGGAAAGAAAAACATACATATATGAAGCTCTGACTCAAGATGAGCTTCCAAATAAAATTCCAATACACATGAGTGAAATCAGTCATGAAAGAATTGGTAACAAATTCAACTATACAAAATAGGAGAATTCACTACATCAAAAAAGCAAATAATGGTGCAACCTTCTGAAAAGAATTTTAAAGTATATTTTAAAAGTGTACTAAGAGCCTGGCCAGTGTGGCTCAGTAGACTGAGTGTTGTCTCATGGACTGAGAGGTCCCGGTTCAATTCTTGGTAAGGGCACACACCTGGGTTGTGGGCTCGATCCCCAGTAGGGGGCAAGCAGGAGGCAGCCGAGTGATGTTTCTCTCTTACATCAATGTTTCTATCTCTCTCTTCCTCGCTCTCTAAAAAAAATCAATGAAAAACATATTTAAAAGTGTACTAAGAGAAAAAGTAAAGATATATATCACCCAAAATAAAAATTACATTAAAAAATTGGCAAATATAGACGTTTTTAACACACCTATTTGAAAAACAATTAGAAAAAAAGAGATGATCAATCTGAAAACAGTCTTGTTCAATATACTGAGAAGTTTGAATTACCTGAAAGGAAATTAGACTCTGCTAAATTATGAGCAACTTGAAACAGACATATTAAGCTTCTTTATATACCCTACAGTACCTAGAACAATTCTTACAGCAACATGTGCCTAATAAGCAATTATTAAATTAATGGCTGAATTCCCATTTTCAAGCAAAAGAGCATTTCCCAATTATAATAACTTGTCTTTAAGGTACTTTTTCTTTCTTTCTTCTTCTTTTTAAAAATATATTGGACCACTTTAAATATATATATAAATCCCTTTTCATAGACTCTTATTCTTTTTCAATTTAGGAAAAAAAGAATCATGAGATAAGTAGTAATACCTAACATAATACCTAATGCTTAAAAGTTCAACAAAATATGTTTGCAGAATGAATGCATTGAATACCTGAAGTACTCATTATTTTAAGTTTTAATATAATTTCCACATATACATTTGAACATTTTCCTAATCCCCCCAATACTAAGAGGTCCAAAAGTATAATATATTAAATTGTTTACATGAAATAGCCATTGAAAAGACAGTTTAAAAAACAAAAACAAAAATGTATACTACATCAATAATAAGGATTATCAGAAAAATGCACAAAAATCTTGATACTGAGCTTTTCCTTTTGGAGTTTTATAATCTTCTATAAACACATCTTTGCGCCTACAGCTTTTTAACCATCTCATAGCTCAATGTCCAGATCAAATAATTCAGACTACTCAGGTGAACGTAATAAAAATGTATTTTGTAAAACTACCCAATTCCATTCCTCTCCTCTCTCTTGAAAAGGTTTGAACTTACAGCTGCTGCTTCCTCATCATCAACTTGTCCTTAATCCCCTACATTCTGGCTTTAGCTTACACCACATAACCAAACTAAATGATGCTCTACAGTTTAATAGTCATTTCTAAGTCCCAACAAATCAAATAAATTTTAATGTGGGGTAAGATGATTACATTATGAAAAGGGCATTGTGGAGGATGAACCAGTAAGGGGTGATACAAAACCGTGTACAAGAACTGAAGGCCTAAATTAACCGAAGAGAAAGAGAAATGAAGGAACAGATTTTAGAGTTACTAAGAAAATAAAAACAATAGGATGGTAATCTGGTCAGACTGTCACGTTTCTAGTACAGGCTTAACTATGTAGTGTGGGTGAAATAAGAAATCATGAGGAAGAGTAAAATTTAAAAGAGATAATAAGCTTAATTTTGTATGTGTTGAGTTTAAGGTACCTAAAAAATAACAAGAAACAAATGCCCTATACACGTAAAGTTTAAACACCAAGAAAAAGAAGTAATGAAATATATACCTCATTTTGTTGCACTTGATTTATTGTGTTTCACAACTATTGTGTTATTTACAAATTGAAGGTTTCTGGTAACTTTGTGTCAAGTAAGTCTATCGGGGCCATTTTACCAACACCACCTGCTCACTTCGTGTCTCTATGTCACATTTTGGTAATTCTCACAATATTTCAAAGGGTTTCATGATTATTACACTTGTCAGAATGATCTATGATTGGTGATCTTTGATGTTAGTATCATAATTGTTTTTGGGCACCATGAACTGTGCCCATATAAAACAGCAAACTTAATCTATAAATGCTGTGTGTTCTGACTGATCTAGTGACCGGCTGTTCCACCTTTCTCCATCTCCTCAGGCCTCTCTGTTCCCTGAGATTATAATAAAATAATTAATCATGAAATTAATAATGAAATCAATTAATAATCCTATAACGACATCTCAGTGTTCAAGTGAAAGGAAGAGCCACATGTCTCTCACCTGACATCAAAAGCTAGAAATTATTAAACTTAGTAAGGAAGGCATGTCAAAAGTCAAGGTAGCCCTGGCCGTTTTGGGTCAGCAGTTATAGAGTTAGCCCATGGACCAAAGGGTCTCAGGTTTGATTCCCTGCCAAGGGCACGTTCCTGGGATACTTGGTCAGGGTCATGTGGGAGGCAACCAATAGATGGGTCTCTCTTCACATCGATGTTTCTCTCCCCCCCTCCCCCACCTTCCACTCTATCTAAAAATCAGTGGGAAAATATCCTCGGGTGAGGATTAACAAAACAAACAAAAAAGTCAAGGTAGGCCTAAAGCTAAACCTCTTGTACAAGTTAGCCAAGTTGTGAATGTAAAAGATAAGTTACTGAAAGAAATTAAAAGTGCTACTCCAGTAAACACACGAATAATAAGAAAGTGAAACAGGCCCTGGACAGTTTGGATCAGCGGTTAGAGCGTAGGCCTGCAGTCCAGAGACCCAGGTTCGGTTCCCGCTAGGGGCATGTACCTCGATTGCAGTTTGTCCCTGGCCCTGGTTGGGTCGTGCGGGTAGCAGCTACTCGATGGGTCCCTTTCACATCGATGTTTTTCTCCCTCTCTTCCTCTCTCTCCCTCCTGCTCTATCTGAACAAAAATGGAAAAATGTCCTCAGGTGAGGATTAAAAACAAATCAAAAAACAAAAACAAAAAAGAAAGTGAAACAGTCTTATCGCTGATATGGAAAAAGTTTTAGTGGTCTGGATAGAAGAGTCAACCAGCCACAACATTCCCTTAAGCCAAAGTCTAATCCAGAGCAAGGTCCTAATTCTCTTCAATGCTATGAAGACTGAGCACTGAGGAGGCTGCAGAAGAAAAATTTGAAGCTAGCAAGAGGTTGGTTCATGAGGTTTCAAAGAAACCATATCCAGCCCTGACTGGTTTGGCTCAGTGGTAGAGCTTCAGCCCATGGACCAAAGAGTCACAAGTTCGATTTTGGTCAAGGGCATGTACCCCTGTTGCAGTTCGGTCCCCAGCCTTCAGTGGGGTCGTGCGGGAGGCAACCAATCAATGTATCTCTTTCATGTTGATTTTTTTTTCTCTCTCTCTCTCCCTCCCACGCTATCTGAACATAAAAATGGAAAAAATTATCCTCATGTGAAGACTTTAAAAAATAACAAATAAA